TACTTAGGGTGCCGTCTGTCGGCGCTCAACCTCCAGGGTCGTGAGCTTTGTTGTACAGTCTGTAAGAGCTCTGCGACGCCTGACTTTAGCCAACAAACTTTAGTCCACTGGTGTTTCACTTGCTGAATAGCCTACGGCGATGTGTTTTTTCACAGCTCTAGTTAGCCGCGCCGAATTCGCTCTTGAATTTGGCGTGTCGCCAGCGCCGCGCATGGGACCAGGTGACGGTTCTGCGATCTCAAAGTCAAAAGTCTATATACATATATATATAGATATGTATATATATAGATATATATATATAGATATATATAGATATATATATATATAGATATGCAGATACATAGAGGTAGGGGCCAGGACTGGGGAGGGGGTGGGAGGCGGGTTGAGGGGCGAGGGTTGGCGGTTTGGCCTGCATCGAGGGGAAACAGGAGTTCGGCGGGATCCTCGATGCTTCGGCCGGAGCTTAGGCGAATTTGTGAGCATAGAGCGGAACGGTGGATATTGATGTTTGCAAGTTGCAAGAGGTGCGAGAAAGATGACGAGGTCACTGAAGCAATGGTTGGAATTGGAAAGGAAAGGACGCAGATTTGCACAGGATATGGGCAAGATCGTGAACACATTGCGGTTATCTGGTTATTCGGGTTTTAGTTTCACATTCATATTGTAGCACCTGATCAAGCTGCACAAGCGGGTTCTCACCGCTACTTAGCAATTGCACAGATTATGTGATATTCTTACAGTATGGTAGGGGTTGGGTGTTAAAGACGATATATGCCTCGAACTTGTACTGCATGACTAGATTGATGACAGAGGCTGAGAACGCTCCAAGTGTGGATTCGTTTCTCGTGAAAGTGTGCACCCAATTCTGTGCCAAAGCCACACGGACATCGATAGCCCCCGGTAGACTCGGGTTAGTGCTCCGGATGGCAAGCCGCGCTGTAGGACTGGCTTTCCCGAATTTCTCAGATCCGAGATTCGGCTCGGCGATCCTGCATTCCGGTTTGCGCATAATTTGTGACTTAGTTCAAACTAAGGGGCCCAGGGGTGCTTTGTTTGGCCGGGACTGCAGACTTCAGCAGGAGGATGTAGGTGCATGCTGGTTTGTGGAAAGCCCTATGCCTTTGCAAGCACAGGCATCGATAATTCAAACTTCCAGATCGACAAGGATCAGCTACGCTTCTTCCAGGACATGGTTGCGACGGGGCATCTTTTTGTACTGCTGATGCACATTCCAATCTTTTTTCCTGGTGTTACGTTGGGGCCGGAAGATGTCATGGGCCACCCGAGATGGAGCACCGCATTTGACCGGAATGCGGAGATCGAAAGTCGTCTAAAGTGGCCCAAACAGGCAAGCCAAAGCACTTTCGAGTTCATCGAGGCGGTCCAAGCTGCAGACCGGCTTGTGGCAATTCTCACGGGACACACGCACCAAGATGCTGTCGTGCCCGTGCCTTGTCCCAGGGCTGCGACCTGCATGCCGAGCAGGCCCAGGCAGTTCACGACCCGTGCGAACTTTCAGGGGGGAGCTCGCCTGATATTCATCCGTTCGACAGAAGGCGCACAGGTCGCAGAGGGCATTTCGCCGGATCTGCTTTTCAACTCCTCCAAACTTGCATGTGCACTTGTTTCCCTGGGATGTGTTGGAGCGTACGTTTTAGTCACGCGGCCTCGCAAAGCCACTGGGTTCGAAGCAAGAGACATGTCCGACATCGCCGAGCAAGGAGCAGGCAGAGGGCAGTAAAGAGATGATGCACCTCGTGGTGGCCGAGCCACCAGCCCAGTGAGGCATGAGCGGCGCGCAGCCATGGAAAACAAAGCGCCACGTGAGAAGACCTTGGTTAGCAAAATCGCGCTTCTTGTGTCGGCCGTGAGTCCTTTCGTGTGACAGGCTTCTCCAACTCTGCTGGCCAAGCTCCAAAAAGAAATGGAGAAATGCCAGGGAAGTCTGACTCTTTCGCAAAACAGCCTTAGCAACTTCCTGAACCTGAAAGACAGGCGGGAGCTTTGACGTAGAGAAGAGCTGCCACTTTGTGATCCCAATGCAGCATGGCAGGTCATCCGAGCCTTTGCCGACCGATGAGGTGCAGATCCCTGCCCAGGAGATCAAGCGGTGGCGCCCAAAACTTGAGCGAAAAGCCACAGCCGGCAGTATGAACTCGTGTCATCAAACAGCAACCAAGACGGCAGACACAGCGATGTGATGCAAGCCTCGCAACATGACACGACTCCCTGGTGGTTCCTCCCAGGAGGCCACTGCCTGAAGCGTCCGCGGGAAGCTGCAGAGGCGATGCGTGCGCTACTTATTGGAAACACGTGGGAGGTGGCTTTCCGGAATCCACGCGCTCATGTGCAATTTCGCTGCATATCGAAAAGACACATCAGCTGGTCTGATAGCGGTTCCAAGCTGCCGTCTTGGAAATCTCTCGCGGCGGATTTGTGAAGTGCGGCACAGGAACGCAGGCTCTTGTTTGTAGTTTTGAGATGTTTTGAGGAGATCATGGCTTGAGAAGCCTCTTGCGGCCCAAACGGCCCAACTGTTGTGGGCTGGTAGTATGCCGTTATGCCATTTAGACTGGAATACGACATCGCATTCCCAAAGCGCTTCCGAAGCAAGGACAGTCTTCGCATGAATCCTGACATCCATCAGCTGATGAGAACCTGGGCAGTTTTCTTCACTTCCATTGGGAGTTCGGAATTGGAGGGTTTAGCCTAGACTAACTCCCAACAATTTTCCATGAAATTCCTGCAGCGCATGAAAGCGCAGTTGGTCCGTCCTTTTCGGTTCGGACACCCAATCCCGTTGAGGGCGGTGAGCAGTCTCTTGTCTAAACTGGCCCAGGCAACCTCAAATGGGTCCCTTTGGAAACCGATGAGGTGGCCGCCGAAAGCGGCTACAATGCCTGGAAGTTGCCATGGGATGCCAGCATCGCCTGGACTGACGCCATCATGCGAGCAGCCTGCGGTGGCAGTGATGGACTGCTGCCCTGTGGTGGCGCTGCTGCGGCAGGCAAGACTTGCCACGGCAACCTCGCCACAGCACCGAAAAAAATCGTGGCGGTGCAGGGATGCACAGCAACGCTGTGGCTTTGCCACAGCAACGGGCGCCTTGCTGCAGCAATCCGTTGCCTCCCACGCGGTTGGGCTTTGCCATGGCTTCGGGCAAGCTCACTTCCCGAAGTGCACGTTGATGGTTAGATGCCTTCTTCAGCATGCTGCTCCAACCTGATCAGGCGAGAGCATCGCGGCCGTTTCTTCCTCTCCGTTCTTGGAGACCTTGCGAAGGAAGGCTCGTCGAGACCGTAGGTGCTGTACATGATCGACCCCATCGACGAGTACTCCATGCCGCAGCCGAAGGGGCTCGATGGCAAGAAGTTGAAAACCACCGCGAAAGAGGGTTTGGACATTGAGGACGAGGACGAGAAGAGCCTTGGAAACATCGACTTAGCTTCTGCTTTTGTGATGGTGTCGGGCAAGCAAGCTGCTGCTTCTTTTCTTATCAGTAGAGCGCTGATGTCCAAGGAAGAAGCTGGAGGAGATGAAGGCCGAGTTTGAGCCTCTCACCAATCACCAAGTTGATGAACCCTCGGAGATAAGGTGGAGAAGGTCATTGTTAGCTCTAGGATGGCGGACTCTCCTTGCGTGCTGACCACTTCCGAGTACGGCTGGTCTGCCAACATGGAGCGCAACTCCATGACTTCCCACATGGTTTCCAAGAACACCATGGCAGTGAACCCAAAACACTCTGGAGCTGAAGAAGAAGAAGGCCGCTGCCGACAAGTCGGACAGGACGGTGAAGGACCTGATCTGGCTTCTCTTCGACACCTCCCTGCTGACCTCAGGCTTCAAATGGCTTCAACCTCGACGAGGCCACCCAGTTCGCTGGCCGCATCCAGTGCACGATCAAGCTCGGCCTGAGCATCGACGATGACGATGAGGGCCTGGGGGGTGACGACGACCTGCCCCCGCTTGAGGAAGTCGAGGGCGCGGCCGGCGAGGCCTCCAAGATGGAGGAGTTCGACTTGGATCTCTGAGCCGCAGTGCTTGGTACCGCAGCCATCGGTAGCCAGGGGTGCATGTCAAGACAAAAGCCAGGTTCAGCCGATAGTACAGAAAGAAGGCGGACGCTGACCTGGTGCTTTCTCAAAGAAATCACGGAAATTGCAGCCTGCGTCATTCAGTTTGTGCACTGCACTGAGTCAGATCTGCAGAATCGAAGTAGAGTCATGTCAAGTCACCAAGGTGAGCCTACAGCTGGTACACGAGCGTCCTCAGGTTGACATGAAGTTCCTGGACTCTGTGAGGCATCGCACGCGGCCTTGTACTTTAGACTTTAGAGCCAATTACGGTGCACATTGCAAATCTTTGTGGCAGCATCTAACCAAGCTGCCAATTCAAGAGCGTCGCGAGCAAGTTGGGGGAATATGCTTGCGACCTCGACTCCATCACCGTCAGGTGTGTGCGAGTGCTCGTTCAGAAAAAGGCATTGCGAAGGCCGATTTCATGGCAGAACTGCTTTGTTCGCAGGCAAAGCTTCATTCTTGGAGATTTGCGTGGGAACCTTAAATGCTCAACAGGGAAGAGGCACCTCAAACCGCATCATGGATCCCCTTGATCAACAAAAGCCGAAGCCAAAACGGGGAGTTGGATGCTGCATCGCCGCATACAGCTCAAACGTTGGAGTTGACATCTTCCAATGCGGGCCAGGTGGTCATAAACAAGTTATACAAAGTTTGGAGAAAAAAGGCATGTGCCAAGCAGGCTGCTGCAGATCTGTTGTTTGCCGTAGCATCACATACATGAAGCACGCACCGGTCCAAACAAAGCACCTGCCGCAAGGTGGTTGCAAGTGCCCCAGCGTATTGTCCAGGCCCGCTCGAGCACGCTCTGGGACCACAACGACACAGAGGTTGAAGAAGGCCAGCAGGGCATCATCGTGATGCAGCTCGGCCGCGGCTTGACAAAGCGCTTCATGTTGTGGCAAGGCAGCGGCATCACCATGCTCGCAGCCTTTGCCTTGCGGCCATTTCGCCACCAGGTTCTGTGCTTTCCTGACATACGCAAAGCATCTGATAATGAATGGAAACATGCCTCGGAGCCGGAGTAGTCAACAGCTCGGGCCAGAACGGAGGGGCAAACCCGACGCCGTCAAAGAAGCACGAGCGAGGGTTAGCGACTGTAGGACTTCTGGTGCTGGCGAAACCCCCTCGAGAGTATCGACGAGCTGGACGAGCGCACCCGCAAGGGGATCCTTCGCGTTCAGACGCCATCACTCCGCCCAAGTAGACATTGCAAACCAGCCCACAGCAGTGATGCTGTAGTATGGACGGAAGGAAATGTTCCAACATGCCACATGGTGGGAGATTGCCATACCTACATGCGGGGCATAGAAGATGGAAACTAAAATAGTCGAGCTGCGATTGGGCAGGCGCAAGACACCTCCAGCGAAACCTAGACGAGGCACTACGGATCAAAACCAGCCATGAGGGAGGGGGTGTTCTTAGCAAGGAAACCGGCCTCACAGCCATCTGTCTATGCGCTGCGCCTAGCCTGACACGGCGGCTTGCCGTACCGTGTACCGTGGGAGACGCTGGGCAACGTGCCCCGGGTCCTCTGTCCCCATAGGGTCCCTTTTAGGGTACTCTTTTATAAAGGTGCCGTACTATATTGGAGACCTAAAAAGGGACCCTAATTTCGAGAACTACCCACATGGAAGCGTCCTGCATCCCAGGCTGTACCCTTCGGGAGCTTGATCCTTCGACCGCCGCCCTGCTGGACTCGCAGGCACTGCGCGAATCTTCATGGCTAGGCCTGCTTGCCCCGAGCTGTCACTGGCACATTTCCGAGTGTTGCTGTTGCGGCGCCTCCAGCTCCCTCTGCCGCTTACGGTCGCTGCAGATGTCGCTGGGACGTGGTAGGGGATGACCTCGCTGCATGCCCCCTCTCCGGCGTGTTGCGCGCCAAAGGTGCCCCCACGAGAGCGTGCTGCAGCGCGTGTCCGCCGTGAAGCCGGTGTTACTGTGGCAACGAAAGTCTTGGCACGGAACCTCAATGTCGCACCCTGCCGACAAGATGACCGCTGCATCGAGGTCATAACTAACGGCTTGCCGCTCTCAGGAGGGGTCCAGGTTGCGGTCGACACCACCCTCGCGTCGCCCTTAACTGCCAGCGGAGGGCCTCCGGCGTGACGAGGTACTGTCGGGGCTGCTTTTGCGCCACGCTCGCCGGGCGAAGGCGCGCATTTATCCAGAACTTTGCAACTCCGGCCGCTGCCGCCTCGTCGTGCTGGGCTAGAAGCCGGTGGCAGGTGGTGCGCCGAAGCTGGTACTTTCTTCTTCCGCCTTCGCGAGCAGCCTCGTTTCCCTGCCGCTCTCCGGTGCAACGAAGGTGCATGGAGATCCTCCTATTCTCAATGACTCAATGACCTCCTGGCCGATCGGCTTCCCTTCCTGTTGCCAGCCGCTTGCCCTCACGCCAACGCCTCACCGTGCTCGGTTCCCTTCTCGGCCACGATGACTTCGTCCCACCCCCGTGTGATGTCGATCCCGGCTGCGCTCTTATTGCTGCCGAGCGCCGAAAACGGCATCAGACGTAGCCAGAGCTTGCCCGAGCCCGCCGCCTTGTCGTTGTTGGCCTCGAGGTCGGTGGTCGGTTCGGCGCCGAGGCTGTGCAGCTCCTGCGTTTGCTCGCTATTTACAAAGCCGCCACCGTCCCCACCGCTGCCTGGGTCGCGCGCTGGTCCGGGCTCTTCGCCGTCGCTGCCCAGCGCGCCTATGCCGCCTGTTTACTTGAGCTGCCGCCCGCTGCTGCCCTCTGCAACGGACCCGTGCCGGAGCTGCATGAGGTCCCCGGCGACGCGCGCTGGGACCAGCCTTGGCCGCGGCCTCCCCACCGGCTGCGCCTACCCCTGCAGCAACCCGTAGGTGCCGACGCGGACCTCTCTTAGCACGAGAACAAAAAGAGTACGTGTGTCGACGCGGTGTGGGCAGTAGTTTTTGCGACGTCGGAGAAACCACTGCAGCCATGCGGCGGCGATTTCGGCATGTATCGGCCAGAGATTTAGGTTTTGAGTCGGGTACCGTCGATTGCTAAATTTAGCTATGTTTAGCTCCTCATCCACGGAGGCCACTCGCTTTCAGACAGCGTGGTGCCGTACCCTGAAAACAATGCTAAATTGAACACATAAGCTAGGAAGATAAACAAATTCGCTACTCAAGTTCGGCTTATGTCTTCGCCGATTGAAATGTTGCTTGGAACATCAAAGCTTGAATTCCTGTGCCGCGACAGCCCAAACATAGGTCGTCGAAACTAGAAAATTAGCCACGTCGTTAGAGATTAGGCTCAAAAAAAGTTATGTTTACGCAGAATGAAACTCACACTTCAAACATCAAAGCGTCCGCGGCTTGCCCACTGGCCTCCTATAGGTCCTAGGGCCTACGGGCTGCGACGGCAGGAGCGGCAGATGACTCGCGCCGGTGCCTTCGGCGAGGTCTAGCCAGGTCCAGCCTGTGGTAACGCCAGCCACGCACGACCAAGGGCCGTGCCCTGCCATCGTTTGGACCAGCTTCCCAACGGCCGCGGGGTGAACAGCAGGCAGCGCCTATTGCATTCGGAGGTGGACGAGATCACGCAAAAAACGGTTTGCCGCGCATTCCATCGCCTTCCGACATCCGTCGTAGCACGACCAGGCGTTATGGCCCGCGGCGTGTGAGTTCGGAGTAAGCCGTTTGCTTGCGGCGCTCCGCGACGTGCAACGCCGCACCGTCAGTTGCTTCCACGCACGGGCGGGTGTGCTGTGCGGGTCAACGGTGACACTAGCGTTGCGTCACAGCAAAGCGCCCGCCGTTTTGCTGTGGTTCCATACACGACCATGTCGAAGCGTCGATCGCACGCCTGGGGGCCGTCGTGTGGGCGAGCCAATAGCCACCGTTGTGTCACGACCTGGCCTCCGCGCCGTCTGACTGCTGCCCGCGCTACGCGAAGTTATGCGCGTTTGACTACATTTGCCCGTGTGGCCAGCAGTCCGGGGACAAACGGGCCAACACGTCGACCGCTTGGCCACATCCCGGGTTTGGGCCGCACCGGTGGGGGCGCAGGGGCAAAGGTAACGGAAGGCGAAGGCGTAGTGCCGGGAGCATGGCCTGTGGAGTCAAGGTGAGTTAGGGCTGGTATTTTCACGGCCAGGCCCACGTCGCCTGCTTGCCTCTTCGCACTTCCGAGTGTTGCTGTTGCGGCGCCTCCGGCTCCCTCTGCCGCTCTCTGCCGCTGACTGCCGCTTACTGTCGCTGCCGACGTCGCCAGGACGATACCCTCGTGTCGCCCTTGACTGCAGCCGAGGAGCCTCGGCGTGAGGGCAGGCGTACTGTCGGGGCTGCCTTGCGCCACGCTCGCCGGGCGAAGGAACGCATTTATCCAGAACTCTGCAACTCCCCGCTGCCGCCTCCCGGCTCATGGCCCGCTGCCGCGCCCGGTCTGCACCCCCACCACTGCAAAGTGCATGCGTATCTGTCGCCTTTGCCGCTGCCTTCGCGACGAGCTTCCTTTCCCTGTCGCCTTCCGGTGCAGCCAATGTCGACGGAGATCCTCGGCTCCTCAGTGACCTTCTGGCCGAACCATGGTTTAGGGATGGTTACGGTTTTTTAGGGTTTA